CAAATCAGATTCAACAGGAATTATAGATCTTACCTAGGACCAAGTTAACTAATGACTCAAAGGATACAGAGAAGAGCAAAATTTGAGTCAAGCATTCTCCCTTTGGAAGGGTCTGAAATTGTCAGGCAAAAGTGCCTGTAAATCTCCTTCTTTTCCTGCATAAAAATGCACACATGTGCACAGAGGGAAGTAAATCTCCATGGAAATCAAGCAGGGGGAGGGGGAGCGGGAGATGGGCAAAAACCTACCTAACAGGTACAATGAACACTAGGTGACAGGCCATGTAACCAAAATATTTGTACCTCTGTAATACTTTGAAATTAAAAAAAAATGCACATTGGTCCAGATTGAACATGAAAGGCAGAAGCAATGGATAAAGTGCACTGCCTGAACAGAAAGAGCCATCTTTGTTATGGAACATCTGCTCGTTATACTCCATTAATTGCATAGCTTATATGACATTTTCCAGCAGGCTGTACCCCAGAAATTGATAAACTCCAGGCTTATTTACAATAAGTAACCTAGACAGACATGGTCCATCCTGCTAAAAGCATTCTATAGGTAAGGACTCCCCAGCCAGTAAATAGAAAATGATATACATAATCCATGTTTTTGCAGATACTCCATTGACAGAAGTAGTGACCCTGGAAGATTTTTCTATGTTGATATTACAACCGGTGCCCTAATGACTGCAAGACCCCTAGACCGGGAAGAATTTTCTTGGCATAATATCACTGTCCTTGCTATGGAAATGAGTAAGTAGCACAATAAATTGGTCTCCATGCAGTGACAAAATACGTGTTGTAAAAAGTGGAAGTTTCTACAACTTGTAATAAAAATTATATTCTTTAAGGGAAGAAATGGTATTTATGGTTTATGCAAGTAAGGGAATTCATTCAGTTCAAATATCTTTTGAATATCCCGTGTACTTCGTTCTTTGCACAGAAAACATGCAAAAGCAGGAAAAGATAGCATTCTTACCCCAAGTAGCTATGAGGAAAAGGGAAGATTCCTGAGAAATCTACAAGATTTTCAATATTTAACAAGATCATGAATGCATAAATTGTATAAAATATTATTGGATGAAAGGAAGCATTTATAACATTACTCTTATTACAGACACAAACATCTATGTCTACAAGAATTTGAGATATCTTATGATAAAAGACAAATTTATTAATAAACATAAATGGAATGAAAAATTAATAAAGACTAG